TTCTGGTGTTCCCCGCCGTGATATTGCTGGAATATTGCTAAAAGCGGCGTAAAACCATACTCACTCACTCACTTTATCTCTTGCAAGCCTTTGTCAGAAAAGGACATTACTAAGGCTTCTGTGGCCTGATGGCTTAAGACCACTATATCTGATAGTTATTGTCAAGCCAGTTCTCTACACCGTGCAATGGGGAAGTTGCAAGGCTCATGATTTTGTGCACTAGCAAAAAGTCTGGCCTCATGGAATTCAGTTTACATCCAACAGCTGGTATCAAGCTGCCAATGGAGATCCCAAAATATGTTTGATAACTTCTACCTGCGAGACGTACAACATGTTTTGGAGACACTTTACTCCCTTCCCTCCCTTCCCTCACTAATCTTCCCTTCCCCCTTTCTGTGGAAGTAGGTCCGTGTGTGTATGTGTGCGCGCGTGCGTGAAGATCCCAGAAAGTACCACAAAAAAAAGGTAAGTTAGGCTATTACATTGTTAGTTGCACGGCGTAACATGTATAACTACCGGAGGTGTCGTCGTTGAAGACTTCTAAACCGGAATTAACGTAAAGAGTACGTATTATCACCAGTATATGATGGGAGACATGTCATCAGTGGAAATGGACGTCATTATCATACCCGAGGTGATATAAGTATATTTGCTGTTGGATATAGAGCAACAAGTATGTGTTTATGTCACAATGACGGATTTACCGGAAGTGACGCCATAGATGACCTCGGAACCGGAAAGTGACGTCATGAAAGACCCTAGAACTGAAGAGAAACTTCATAAGTAAGATCATATATCACCAAAAACAGGAATTGTGAGGTCATGGAACGGGAAGGACGCCACAAGTCTTCTTCAGGTTTGCCAAGGTGAAATCAGAACGGTAGGCATTGGTTCATACCCCGTTTCTTCTATGTATTCTCTTACTTCACTGCTGCCAATTTTCCGGGAGTACTAGATGACAGATCCCGCCTGTCCCGGATGTGCTCGGCTACTGTCGGGGTTCGCCTGGGACCGGGGTATGTTAGTACGGCAGCCACACCCTGGATGTGCTCGTCTACTGTCCTGGTTCGCCTGGGACCGGGGTATGTTAGTACGGCAGCCACACCCTGGATGTGCTCAGCCTCACCCTGGATGTGCTCGGCTACTCTCCTGGTTCGCCTGGGACCGGGCATGTAAGTACAGCAGCCACATTCGCCTGAAACAACGTTCATGGGAGAATGGAACACATGCATGCTTACACATTATGTAGTTGGCGAGAGGAGGATTGTAGTTGATTGGTTCGAATAGAGATATAGACACTAACTGTTAAACTTTCCTTTATAAACTTAAACTTTCTTCAATGTGTACTGCCTGTGGGGACCTTGTTACAGTAGGTCATAATCTTTGACAGAGAGACATGACCATGAGAGACAGAAAGAAAATTGATCAGCCAACATTGTTTGTTCCTAAAAACAAAACAGAACCAATGTCAAGGAAGATACTTGTATTGTCAAAAGACATGAATTAACAACATCAATAAAGTTTGCCTTGAGAGTTGCCCTATAATGTACCCTATTTAGGTTTGAGATGCATCGGTTGTGAGGATGAAAGGTTCCTTTTGGTTGGGATATGCAAGGATGGGGGCTGTAGTAAGAGCTAGCTTTAGCTTTTAGATTGCCAGTGGGCATTTGTTGGACCATTCGAAAGACGCGTCTTTTTTCAGAAGGTTGTATAGGGGGAGGCAATGGCAGAAAAGTTTGCTACAAATTTGCGATAATAGGAGGCCAAACCTAAGAAATGATGCATGTCATGGACATTTTTAAGGGGTGATCTGTGTGACTAAATCTATTTTTTAAGGATCGACATGGATGCCATCTTTATTGAAGATATACCCTAAGTAGGTGTATGAGAGTGAGTCTTGCTTCTTTGATCTTTTGGAATATATTATGATGGCATCTACATATATTAACATGTAACGCCAATTCATTTCTTTTGCTTGAAATGGTTTGCTGAAATGCCATAGGAGCATATTTTAGGCTGAAAGGGAGGCGATTCACCATCAGGTGTAATGAATGCCGACTTGTGTTTTGTATCTGGATGGCACAATCAAGGACTCTTAACATGTTGGCATGGCTGTCGCCTATATGTGACATCAACAACACCTTCAAAAAGTAAATTGGTAAATGCATTGAGATGTCTATGATCTACAGCAAAGAGCTATCCCGTTTTTACCCATGACAATGGGAGAGTGCTTTAAGAAGTACTGGACTGAATTATATTGGCTTCTAATATTTCTTGCACCTGAGCATTCTTTCCTAATGGCTGCGTTTTGCTTATAAGAAAAAATCTCATCCCCCCAAAATGAGTGAGTGAGGTAATGCTTTACGTCACATCGGCAATATTTCAGCCATATCGTGACGAGCCCCCCAAAATGAAGAAAAAACAACATTACTCTACCCTTAAAAACCGGGCCCCCCTAAATGTGAAATGGTCTGCCCTGAGCTGGAATGATACTAAAATCATCGTTATGCCCAACTCACACACTCACTCTCTAACTCACTCACTCACTATTTACAGGTCATATTGATATACCTTGAGTGTTGGGAATGTCACATAGAATGACAGACTCAGAAATTGAATTATCCTTAAGAGTTGTCTGGAACTGACTGCATGAACTCTGTACATTCTGTACATTTATTACACGTTAAGCCCACCAGTCGCTGACATTACGGCATTGGAGATAGACAGCTCCTTCAATAGACCAGTGACGCATGATGCCATGATAAGGAATATACTGCATTGCACTCGCCATGTTGGGGATAATGATCCTAGGTTACAGGTAACAACTACTCACCTGGTACAGGTAGGTTATTTGGTGGAACTAGAACTGTTGTAGCAAAGATGATTCTTTACAACACGGTGTTGAGTTTGCTGTTTGCCTCTTCATCGGGGCTATGGTTAATGATAAACATAACCTTCAAACCAAATGAACAGTTGAAATCCAGATATATATCTTGCGTCTCTATGAACCTCCAACGTTTAATCGTCTATATACCCATAGATCGGAAATCTTGTAGGTGGATATTACAAATTTGTCTGTATTTATGCAGGATTTTTTTCCTGTTGCCAGTACTAATACATTTGCAGTACCTATTCCAATATTAAAATTTGAGATGATATTTTGCCTGATACTAACAATATTCCTCATATTACACACCTTTGTCTTCAAAACTGTAACATCATGTCACGGAAGTGGAACGATTTTCATGCGATTTCAATCCAGTTTAAGGAAAGTCAAATCTACAGTTCCACTATTATCTCATTTGATCTCAGAAAATTAACATGATACATACAAAAATTGAGACATGGTGACAGTGAATTAAAATTTTATTTATATTGAAAAGACTTAAACGAGTATCCAAACTGCCCATGTGACAACCACTGTGAAAAATTGATATAATGTTTTCATTGAGTGTCCAGTTCTAAAATTGAAACGAATTGATGCACTCACAATTGTTATTTGTGAAAGATACGAGTGATGCTAATATTGACTTGTTTCTAGTTGGCAATGTAGCTGACATGTTCATTTGAACGAAACCATTTTAAGAATGTACATAAAGACAACAAAACTGTTTGAGTGAGCAATGTTAATGTACATGTTTCCCTATTTCTCTTTTCCTTTCTGTCATTTAATGTATTGTAAATATGCATACATGTGAATCTGTGGGAGGGGATGTTCTAAGTTGTGATAATGTGTGCCCAGTCCTTTTCATTAGAATAAAATATGTTATAACTAAACTAAGATGATCTTCACTAAGTATACCCATGTTTGGACTAAAAAGTACTGCCGGAAATGCTAGAAAAATGCTTTTCTGGCTTCATTTAATAAATACGAGTAATAGGACTATAAAAGAGCATATATTAAAATAACGCAAATTGACCTAATCTAGCCTGCATGTGAGAAATGGCATATAACCTGAGGTAACACCTGTCCTGAGGTGATGACCTCACACCGTCCCATGCATTCTCACAGGTGCAAATGTCCCCCGAGTTGGGGGTGGCCTCAAAATATTGCTGTTATTGTACTTAATTGATGTGCGTTGATGGGGTAGCAATTTAGGATATGTACTGCATTATATTTGCTTGGAAACATGATGGAATGTTGAGCCATGAAACGGGATGAGAATTGGAAGGTTTCGGTTTTGGAATCCAGAAGTATTTGTTGTTCTACAGATGGTTTCTTGAGGTAGCATTTATCTCCGCTGATGAATATGAATCTGTACTTTTGAATGTTGTGTTATGTCTTTCCACAAACCCTTTATACTTATCCAAGATAGGCACAACAGGGTTGAGCTCACAATGTCTGACTGGCGTTATCCATGACAATGACACTGACGTTGTTTAAAATGAGCAATAGTTGAAGTTCCAACCAGTCTATGAACACATCACCTCCTATAATTTCCATATGAAATCACCAGTTTTCTTTTTCGCCTCGAAAACTAGCACACATCCATCAATAAGCCAATATCATGGGTTGCGGAGTGCAAAACAATGACACGATTACCTTTACCTGAATGTACCATGGGTGCTTTTTGTCCATCTGCCATTAGGCACATGTAGTCAGTGGAATGATTCATCAAGGTAAATTATCTGGACGCCCTGACTGTGATAGTTATGAATGGCTCGTAGATAATGTGACCTCATAGACAGGATGGAATATTTCCCCCTGAAATGTGCTCAGTCATCGCCAGGCGCAGTGTATCAAAATCCCATCTTGAGAGAGCAATAGTTGGTGCAGTCTGGGAAACATTAATTATGTCTTTAATTCCTCCCAAATTCTACTACAAGTCAGGGTTACCTTCTGCTCATAAAGCGTGTACACTATAGGCCTAATCACCTTGTATCAAAGCTGTCTAATATCCCTTTATGATATATCCCTTTATGGACTTAGAATAATTGTGAACTTCCTGTTTTCGTTCAATTTGTCTCCTGTAAACTTGCTGATAGGACTCTTTGTGACTGAAATACTTCAAACCACAGGTAGGTCGATCGATAGTTACTCGATATTTTAACAGTCTGTGAAAAATGATATCCTTTTTTTAACAGGGAAAAAGCAGTTTTCTAGCATTTCCGACAGTCTGACAAAACAGTTTACAGTGGAGGGCCTGACACGCGTGACACAGGACATCCTGGTGTATGTCGGCCTTCTCAGTTATGGCGAAGAGGTCCTGCATGTGTGTGTTGATTAGCGTCTACCGGTCTACCCAGCTCACAGAAACAGCAGTGATCGACAAACTTGTGAGTTCAATACTTTCGCAAACTACAACTTTAGACTTAGATATATGTTGTAGTGTCGTTTCACGATTTCTAGTTATGAGAGTTCCGTTGATGTGAAAATGCTGCCCCAGTTGGCCGGTCGGCCAGCTCTGTATCATACTTAATGACGTGGAACGGTGATCATGATTTCACTGACTGGTTTGCCTGGTCCAATCACAATTGTTTACAGGTCGCCTCAACATAGCTGAGTTGTTGCTGACAGCGGCCATAATTATCATTCCTTCGCTGTGCCCAAGTATCAAGTTATTTAGTTTGAGCTTAATTAACAGACATGTGTCGATGGACAAGATGCCTATTGTGTGGATGTTGCAGTTGTCTTCATCATCAAAGCTGCATTTACAGTTTAGCGCCCCAAGGTGTCGTGGTTTGGTCCACTTGGGTTTTGAAACAAAGAAATCGCAGTAAGAAAGCTTGCAACAAGACCGACCATTTACATGCCTTAAATATACTTTTTATAATTAATCATGCAGCATTTTTGCAAAACAAAATACTTATCAGAACTTGCATTTCACCGTTGTCACAGTTCCGAGATGAGGTCATGTTTTGGGCTCCTGTGGCAGACCTCCCGGATTCATCGATTGCCCCACCAGCCAATGGCAGAGCAGACCACAGAAGAGCCACACCTCCAGCCGGGGTGATGGACCTCCAGGTCGACAGTTATGATGCTGTTAAACGAACCGTGACACTGACGTGGACATCCCCTGGAGATGATGGCCGCAGTGGGACAGGTGTGTGACGAGAGCGTAACACAATACAGTCAGCCACCAACTGTTTCCCGATTGACTGGAAACAGGATGAGCGGGGATTGGGTTGCATCTGATCTCGTTTTGTTGTCTACATTTTATGAACAAGCAGTCTATGAAACTATTATTGCAGATTTATCTATTTACAAGAAGCGGCTAAGCGGATATATAGTGTGTACGCCGTTTTTTAGGTTTATACCTGTAAACACGCAAAAATATTGAAGTCAATTCTTAGCAAACCTTATTTTCCCATATTTAGGCCATCATCTAGATGCATGTGACCATATGATCGACACAACCCTGACCAATCCAATGTGTGTTTGAGCAAGCCGATATGACATTAGGATGGCAGAGTCTGAAGCACAGATAACAACGAACTTCACGTCATCTCCAAAGGTGGAGTCAGGCATGATACTGAGCGGGCTCCTAATACCCAAAGTGGCTGGAACAACCGAGCGAATAGCATTTAAGATTCCAAATAAGGCCACATGGAAAAAGTACGTGTTTGCTCTGAAGACCTTTGATGAGGAAAATAACGAGTCTCCTGTGTCTGTCTGCTTCCCTCACATTTCAACAACAACGGCAGCAGCAGCAGCATCAGTATTGACACAAACTGTGCCGACCCTAAGACGCCACGCGGCACACCAATCACATCAGTCACAGACGTCACATCCAAACAAGAGTCCAGATGTTGGCGTCATTGTGGGTGGTTCTCTGTCTGGTGTGGCCGAAGCAGCAGTGGCAGTCGGACTGCTGATCAAGATGCTTTATAGGAAAAAGACTGAACTACAACCAAATCCCCTGGAAGCCAAAATGACGGAACCTTCAGTGCCTCATGTAAACTTTGCCATTACTTCCCATCAAACAATTAACACTGAAGGAGTTTAAATAATGTTCATAGTGGTGTTAAGCCAAACAAGCTAAGCTGAATCCTAAACTGTAGCAAATAATATGACATCAAACTGAGCACATTGGGATGCACAGCTTACTTAAGATAACTGAAAATTTGAAACATGACATAGTCTTAGTTATAACTACAGTGGAATCTCATTACAACTGAACTATTGAATGTATTCATCATGAAACAACATTTATGAAGCATAAACTGTTATAATATGTTTCTTTCAATTTTGGAAGGCCTCATAATGTCCACTGTGATACATCTTCTCTAAAGCTCGAAGACATCCGTGGTCTAGTGGTAGAGCGTCCACCGGGAGAGCAGAACTTCCTGGATTCAATCCCTGGCCGCGTCATACCAAGGACGGTAAAATATGGTACTTGTTGTTACCATGTCTGGCGGTCGGCATTAAGGGGCTTAAACAAGGACTTGTCGGAACTGCGGCATGTTATCTCAGCGGGCTAGCACCACAAATCAGTCCGAACTAGTACAAGCAGACACACAGACAGACAGACAGACACACACACACACACGTGGATGCACGTAGCTATATAAGTGCAATAATCTTGCAATAAACGTTAAACCCCTCTTCACTTCACCTTCTCTAAAGCTCTTATCCTTCGGTTTGGTTGTGCAATGGTATTAAAATAAACATGATATGCAAATTGAGAAAGATATGCAACAACTGCTTGAAGTTAATTGTTCGAACCCAGCCATTCATGGTTATTTTGAAGCATGTTTTAATAAATGGGTTTGAGTTTAAATTTTAGGTTTTGATTGTAATATATAACTTTTTTCTGTTTTTGTACATCTTTATATAATTAAATTTTCGTTGTGTTCATTGAAATTCCTGTATTCTGATTAGCTGAATTGGTCACGTGTTATTGCATTCATTTCCCAATGAATGTAAAAAATTAAGCCACGCCCACCGAGGCGCACTACTTTTATTACCGGAATGTCGGGGAATCCCAATATCAAAGCCGAGGGATTCCCTTTCTGCTCACGTGTATCGTCATGCACAGGACATTTAGCGACTTTCATGCATATGCATTGTCCAAACTACCCATTGAAACCGATGGCCGAGAATGAATGAAACAGCAAACGTGCAGGCTCGCTCGCCTGTTTTTTCCTGCTCGCCTCGGTTCAACTTTCATGTCTTCGGGTTTCCTTTCTAACTAGCATTTTTCCAACTGTGTTTTACCGTTATCAGGGAAGTAATGTTTGAATCTGGCGGTAACTGACCATGTAATTTGAAACAGCCGCCTTCTCCCGGACATATTTCTTCCAGTTCGTTACAGTCTGTCTTTTTGCCTCTTGTCTTAACTGACAGGTCCAATGAACATTGTATGAATCGAAAAACCAATGTGCAAACTGTATGAATCCGCGTAGCGGATTCTTACAAAAGTTTGCACATTGGTTTTTCGATTCATACCTCAATGAACCGAAAAGAATACACAGTCAATGCTTATAATTAAATTCGACAGCATGTGCAAACTGTATGAATCCGCGTAGCGGATTCTTACAAAAGTTTGCACATTGGTTTTTCGATTCATACCTCAATGAACCGAAAAAAATACACAGTCAATCCTTAAGTGGTTATCCAAAAAACCAATGTGCAAACTTTTGTAAGAATCCGCTACGCGGATTCATACAGTTTACACATTGGTTTTTCGATTCATACCTCAATGAACCGAAAAAAATACACAGTCAATCCTTAAGTGAATATCCAAATTGTATGTACATATTGTTCTCAACATTTGAGTATGAGTTACAGTAGCAACTGTGCAGAGCATAGTATGCCCTACATTACAAAAAGCACAATGTATCTGGTATTCATTTACTCCGCTAAATATAACATACCATACTGCATATAATTGATGTTTTCATTGTTTGACTGTTTTAGTCTATACCATTTATATCAGGTCAGATTGGCAGTTATGTTATATATGGAATCGGGGACACGTTTGATAGAAGTGTGTAATGGATTGAGTTGGTTGGCTAATGTAATGGTCGTGTTAGGTTCGAATAGCCTGATATCCAGCTGGCCACTAGGACAAGTATCGAGATATTTATACAAGCAATCCGTACAGGCGGTGACACGTCAGCCTTTTCAGCCTTCATACGACGACTGCAGTACATGATGAAACCAGTTGAGCACAAGCCCCAAATGACTTCTAGCTTGTTTTTTTATCTTCGCAAGAGGCCTTTTTTACATCGTAAATATATCACAGATAAATTATACATATATGTATTTCTCCAGGATAAATCACAGAACAAGTAGCGCACACACTTACTGGACGCATTGTCTGGAAACAATAGAGCATGTGTTTGTTGACGTTAGCGTAGGAGTGTTTCATCTGCTTATTATTTTCTAAATATATACCTTACATAGAAACACGTAACTAGATTGTTGGTTAAGGATGTGCAAACTGTTGCAGTGTCTTGGATTCAAGAACGTACGTGTCACGTATCACAAAAATATTTTAGCGTATCAATACGTTTCTGAAGACCATATACAGTGTCAGAAAGCAAAACAACATCATCTGCAAATAATAACAAAAATAGTTGAATAAGTTCAGGATGAAGCTGTAAGCCTGTTGAACAAGATACAGTGCCGTGCCAGTTATATTCGTACGATCCAAAATGGCCGCCGTTTGTTTACATATCGACTCGCTTTTACAGAGCGTCATTTATTAATGAAAAAATTATCTACATACCTTAATACTTGGTAAGATGCCCTTTCATAGTTAGAACTTTAGATATCCGGCGTGGAATAGATTCATAAAGGCCACGAATAAAGTCTAGCTCAATGTCCTGCCAAGTGATATGGATCGCTTCAAACAGCTGATCTTGGTTAGTGATGTCGTTTACAGTGTCCTGTAGTTTTTTCTTTAGTTTTAGCCAAACATTTTCTATAACATTTAAATCCGGTGATTGTGCTGGCCAATCCATCGTGTTAATGGCATTGTCGGCGATGAATTTTTTCACAATATTTGCCCTATGAACGGGCGCATTGTCGTCTTGAATATATAGTTATTGTCTGGAAAATGTCTACAAATTACTGGCCACAAATTATTGTCCACAATTTCTATGTATTTCTGGGCATTGATGTTACCATTTACACGCACCAAAGTCCCCACACCATGATAACTGATACTCCCCCACACCATCAAACTCAACTTCCTGGTTCGAGGGGGACACACGCACTCGGGTCGATCGGCTTCATTTTCCTTTCTCCAAATGTATACACGATTATTATTTCCAATAACCACCTGACTCTCATCAGTAAAGATTACATTTTTCCAAAAACCATTGACAGTTTTTTTCCTCATACTCCGACACCACAAGACACGTTTTCTTCTGTTCACCCCCCTAACAACCATCTTTTTTTTGTGATGCACCTGTAGAATCCTTCTCGGTGTAATTCCCTTTGAATTGTTCTTTTCGAGACAGGTTGGTCTCTCACCGAATTGAAATTACCAGTGATGTCCTTCAAAGGTCTCTGTCTATTATTTTTAACGAATCTGAACAGCGCGGTGCGATCTCTGTCGGACAACTTTTTTTGTCTAGCTTGTCTCGGGATGTTTTCTACCGAACCCGTTCGCTGAACTTTAGCAAAAATACTACCCAAAGTAGACTTGGGAACCCCCAACAGGTCAGTAATCGCTTGATAACTTTTCCCCTCTTCTTTTAACTTTAACGCTATTCTTTTCACATCACCACTCAATTCCTTAGATTTTCTCCCCATGTTTGCACTGATTATCGTATGTTTTGATCTAAACAGCAGACGACGCTTTGAAGGACATCACGTGACGGCCACGTGATCAAAGTGACGTCATGTCAAATTTAACATGGTTCCGAGTATAATTGACGCTACGCGAAACATTTTTGTGCTCGTAAAATATGCGACGGTTATAAACCGTTATGGATCGTACGAATATAACTGGCACGGCACTGTAATTCTATATCCATTGCCAACTCATTTATAAGCATAGAAAATAATAATGGACTTAAGACGCATCCCTGCCTTAAGCCAAGAGGACAATGAAATTCTTCAGAGAAAATATTATTTGACCTTACACTAGCCTTAACACATTTATATATAGACTTTAAAGAAAGTAAAAACTTGGTGGATACACCCTGCTGCATTAAT